TGATGCATCATGATCTCTTGTGTGACACTCGCCACCAATGGCTTTTGGCCAATTAGCTTTGGCCCCAAATCGAATCCCCCAAGTGGCAGCCAACTGAAGATTTTCCCCACTCACCCTTTTCCACAAAACACTGAGAGAAATAAGTACTTGGTTTAATGGGAAGCCAATGGGAATTAAATGATAATAAAATATAAATTAAATGGGAATTAATTGAAAATTAAATGGATTGTTTAAACATTTTTTCGATGTCAGAGAATCTCCACAGGGAGAGGGAAATCAACAAAAATTATATTATTTAATATCAATTTGACCAATATTGCATGGTAAAAACAATACGGGTGTATCGATTTGATCCCGGCGTGTTTTTTTTATATATTAAAACAAGGCCCTTTTTCCCAGTGCTCTTTAATTATTCGAGACTGTGTATTTGGTTGTTTATCTGGGCAAACATAAAACAGAAAATGAAAAACCAAATAAACGCTAATTGGAAAAGCATATTTTATATGGACTGTGCGTTTTCCCCCACCGATTTTTCTGATTTTCTTCGCCACAAGATCCCCTTGTTCTTGTGGCACGCACACTTCCCACTCATAAAAACTGGAAACATTTTTGGAGAGAAATATGTGTTCGCCCCGTCGACCATAAAAATGTTGTTGGGCAACCCTTTGGCTTTGCTGGGCGAGTTTTCGTTGGGTGGAGAGGGAATAAGGAACCCGATGTCAAATGAAATGCCGTGTTGGCCATCATGATTACTTCTGACATTTGTGGCAAATGTTCGAGAGCCGTCGGCATACTTTTCTCACTCACTCGTCTATTTATAAATAATCAAAAATTGTTGACACAACTTGGGATCGGGGATTTGTGGGTTGGGGGTTGGGAGTTGGGGGGGGTGGAAGATTGGCTTAGACGCCATTTAATTGTTTTATGCTCGCTGTGTTCGGTAGGGAAATAAAATCAATTTTAATTACATTTAGTCGCTGACATTTTGATGGCTGACAGGCAGCGTAAAAAGGGTGGAAAGGGGAAAAGTGGGGAAAGCCAAGGCAAGGCCCTCTTCTGGTTTGGTTTTTCTGACGAAAACCAGTTCTACCCAATCCTCAATCCCCAATCCCCAATGCTCAATGGTCCGTTTCGGTCGCAGTAGAAGTCCAAGTCGAAGCCTCAGTTTAAGTTTAAGTCCCAGTTCCAGCTCTGTTTTTGGTTTCCTCTTAGTTTCTTATATATTTTTTCTTTTTGCCTCCTTTATTTTTTCTTCTTATTTTTCTTATAAGCTGCATCGCATCCTAACGAAAACCTGGAAACTTGTCGTTGCTTTTTTGCCGTTCGACAGAGCAACTTGCTGCGAACTCGTTTGGTAGCATTTTGGGTGGGCGAAGGGGGCAGGAACGGTTCGGTTGCGCAGGCGGAGGGAGTCGACATGATTTGCACTACAAAACAACAAAATTTTTAAGGAGCAGTCGCTCCTCTCTAAATGCACTGCGAAATGGAGAAATAAAATTCAATAGAAAAATAAAATCTCTAAAGTTTTTAAGGGCTTTTAATATAATTTGTTTAATGATATTTGTTCAAAAATATTCTCTATAAATATTTCACTTATATGCTGGCTATAAGTTTCCTTTATTTATTATTTTTAAAATGTTAAAATATATCAGTACAAAAGTAAGAGGATGGTCAGAAATCTAAGAAATAAATTACTTTATTCTTAACTTTAATATACAAAATTCACAATTTTCTGTGCATTTATTTCACTAATTTTTTGAAATCGATTATAAAGTTTATTATATTGTTTATTTTGTAATACTTGTTTTTTTAAGATGGTCATGAACCTAAGAAATAAATTACAATGATCTTAACTTAACATGTGAGAACTACCCAATTATCTGCGAATTTTCTCTTCCTTTCACTCAGTTTTCCCTGTGTAAATCCCTTCTTTTCCACCGCCCCTTTTCGTGGCTGCCTCTTTTTCGCGCTGCATTTTTCGCGTAGGCCGCGTGGAGTGCAGCGAACTTGGTAGCCGGGCCGGAGATTAATGCGCTGCCAGACAAACTCAGCTGGAATATTTCTGGGCAGCTGGGAATGGGAATGGGAGTGGGAAAACGGGGAGCGGTGCTCTTCGTGCCTTTGGCCAGTAAATCTTGAGCTGCTTTTCGGCCGCTCGGCCAACAACAAGTAGATTTCATATCAGCGCGATGCGTTTTGGGCCAGTGGATATTTGGCCAGGGATTTCCGAGAACTCAGGCATGGAGCAGGCCCAGGCCACGAGGATCAATCATAGGAATGCTAGAGATTTTCCAGAAAAACATCCATGAAGTTTCCCAGTATCTGCAAGATAGATTTCAGCAGATTGGGATAAGGAGAAAGCTTACGAGATGTTAGATATAAAAGTGGCTAAGTAAAGTATTTGAAGGGCGCGAAAAATAATATATTACATTATTTTTTAAAGAAACTATTTGGAATGTAAAAATATTTCTAAATATCTGAGTTTGTAATATGAAGCAAATTTAACCGAAAAATTTAGTCATTTAATCCATTGAAAGAAAATATTTCGATAACGCAATAATAAAACCACCAATGGTAATTAAATTCTCTCACAATCAAGACCTTTAAATACGATCTCCAAAAAAACATTTTTAAAATGCACTTTTTATTCCCAGTACTTTTTTGTTGAATCAAAACAATGCGATTGCGAAAATACCAAAGATATCCAAAAAATATTTTGTTTTTTTTTTTGGCGCGGTGACTACATTCTTTTCACCCCTCTCTCAACACTTGTCATAATTTGTCCATATTTCATTCAGGCATTTTTTTTATTCGCCTTTCGGACAGCAATTATGCGATTACAAGCTCTTTTTTTTGTGATGCGTGCGTGTTGTTGAAATATTTGAACAACAACATCGATGGATTTGTGAGTTCTTTGTTTGGCATCTTGTTTTTGCGTTTCACTAATGAACGTGAAATTATTTTCGTTTATGATTGAAAGTATTTCATTAGCTGCCGCTGCGAGAAAAGAAAAGATATTCGAATGTGTGTATTTGAATTTGAATTTGAATCTGTTGGGGCATTCGATTCGCTGGCGCGGAATGTGCTAGTTCATTGCGTTGTGTTAATTAATGCGCCCTAAAATCAGTCAGTGGTTCGATGTTTGATTAATGGCCAGTCGTCTGCCAGGATGGCGGAAGATACATTTGTATCTATGGCTATGCAAATGCAAATGCAAATGCAGCAAGGAATTGACCATTTTGCGGTCGAGACGCTGTTATTGCAACTGCACTGGCAACCGCATCGGCATCTGTGTCCAGGGCCGTAGAGAAGGAGATTTCTTGAACAATAATAATTTTTATTAATACATTTAAATAGAAATAAATACATTTTCATACCTATGAATGCTGAAAGTCTTTTTTTAAGTCTAATTTTTTAATCATAAAATTTAAAATAACATTTTTTAAATTTAAAACCGAAATTCGGCTTTCATTTGTAGGTTTGCACTAAAGAAGTATATTTGCCAAAAATATTAGTAATTGATGAATTAGCACCAAAAATAATTTGTAATTTTAAACGTCTGTGTTAGGTAAAATGTTGTATATAAATGGGTAACAAAATATTGTAATATATTAGAAAAAAAACATTTTTTTTTACAAAAAATATTTTATTTTTGTTTTGATATATTAAGAAATATTAAAGAAAATCAACATAGCCTTGGTAATTATTTAAAATGTCTTCCTTTTCGATATACTACTCCTGAAAACCCCCTATCTCCATTGAACTCCTGCTTGCGCCGCCACTGTCTGTATTCCGTACTTTGCATCTGCATCGATGCATTTGCATCTCTGCGGTTCATTTGAGGTGTTTGCTGGCTGTTCAAGAGCCTTTTGGTATTATACTACTTCTTTCCCTCCCGTTTGGCCCTTTCCCAACAACTGGGCATCTCTTTTTTGATTGATTTCGATTCACTTCGTGCCCCGTCTGGGTGTTATTCAATTTTTGTGCCATATCATAAATTTAATTTGAGATGAAAATCCCAAAGATATGCCGCATTATCCCGAGCCCAAGCCCGTGCTGTTTCCATTGTATCCCACAGATACAGATACAGATACAGAGATACATTTCGATCGCCCGGCCACAATAACGGATTACATTTGAAATTGTTTGGCACTGGCGCCCGCCCCACAATTCCTCTTTCTACGCCCCTCTCTGCGCAATCGCCCAAGTGTTTTTCCAATATTACACGATGACTTTGAATATTTTGTCTGGGCATCATCATGGGTGGGATTTTGTGATTAGAGCGATACACCAGTACCAGCAACAGCAACAGTACCAGTTTCCAATCGGATAAAGAGGGCGGCAAGTGTAACAAATATGCTGGGTCGGTCGGACATGGGACTACAGACTACAAACTGCCATATACTCGATACCAGAAAATGGAATCCACACTTATTCTGATTGTTTGCCCAGCAGCAGCCTCCTCTCGATTCTCCTCGTTCTCCTCTTTCAGCTTTCAGCTTTTTCAGCCCCCCCCTTTTTGTCCGAAAACCAGTTTTGGGATATTTGAAAATGCTGAACCGTAGCCAAGAATGATTTTTGGTTAGCATTTCGGGGAAATCGATGGATATATAGTGTACGTATAGCACGGGACGTAGGGAACGGAACGGGGAAGCTGAAAACAGATTAGGCAGATGCAATCGTTGTTACTAGGGGAAAAACAATTAACATTTGCTAAGCGGCATTCCGAGTATTTCCCCACAGCCCCCAGGCAAATGAGGGAAATTGGGAAAAATTGCGGAATTTTGGTCTTAATTATACGACTGATTAGAGCGAAAATAATAAATAAATGTATGAAAATATTAAACCTATAAAAAATACAAAAATAAACGGATATAAATTTCACAAAATTAAAAGAAAAAACCCCAAACAGAACATGGTAAAGCGTAACGAAAGGTCACAAGGTTGTTTCTACCCGAGACAACCCCACTTAATTATGTATATTTTCTACTCCCCTGCAGATCCGAAATAACCCATCGGCAGCCATGAAAAAGATCTAAAATCCATATAGGAAAAAAGGCTAAAAAGGAGACCCAGAGCGAGTGGAAATCCGATAGTTAGGGATTTCGACGGAGAGATTTTCACCGAATCGAGGCGAATATATTCCCATCCGCGGGTGGCGATGCCACCGAGGCCCCTGTGGGCCCCCCCTGCCCCTGTCCATGCATCGAACGGGGTGCAGAAATCCTGCACTTGCCATTAACAATAATAATAATAATAATAGTTGTAATAATTAATTATTAATACGCGACAAGAGAGCGAGTGCCTCGCAACGAAAACGTAAAAAAAACGAGAAACAAAAAAGATACGCGGTAATTAAATAATAAATAATCGACATAAATCGTGAAGTGAAGTGCACTCTCGCACTCTCGGTACAGTGAGCACCAGACACAAAATGACTATGAAATCGATGAAGTACTCCGATTGTGATACCATCATGGATGGCTACAATCCGGTGCCGCCGCCCCTGCCCCGCCGAGTGCCCCCCGTGCGAAATATCTACGCTGAGCCCTTTGCCCACGAGCCGAACCATTCCAGCAGGTAAATAATATATTAAAAGCACTTTAAAAAAATATCAGGTCTTCCTTGAAGTCACAAAATATTTATGAGTGAAATACAAATTTTCAAGGGTAAAAAAAGTAAAATAAAAGTTAATGAAAAAATCTAAAATTCTGTTTGAATGTCTAAAATAAATTAAAGTAGCAAGAATGACCCACAACGAAGTGAGATAAAAATGTAAAAAAAATTGTCATAATATAAAGTCTTGAATTTAAAACATAATTTTATTTCTTTGTATTACATTTTTTTTCTCCCTGTGCATTGACCTGCACACCTGTGCAAATAATTGTAATTAAGTCGAGTGTCATCGCGAATTTACAGCGCCATCAAAATGCCAGGGACAAAGGCAAATGGCGATTATGCACAGGTCAACTGGGGTCAACAGTTTCACAGGCTGTCTGTTGTCTGCCATCCGACATAAAATCATTGCCAAAATATTGCCACAGATTTAAGACTTAATTAACATTCGAGTCCTCGGGTCTTCGGCTGAAATGCGTTGAAATGCATATAATAATTTGAGATTGGAAAATAAAAGCAGTCCTGGGGAAAAGCAAACGAAACGAAACTTCAATCTTAATATGAATCGCATCGCAAAATAAACCAAAGCGCTTGGCTCTAAAGTGCTTTGAACCTTAATTAAATGGCAATTTCAATAAGAAAATATAACTTACACACAAGTGCATTCGAATCATGATGATGTGTTCTGTGAGTGTTTTGTATCATAATTAAACAGTTTACCTTACGAGTATTTATAAGCAGACAACAAGAAGTAAATTAAATTATGCCAAGTGGCTTGTACATATATGGGAAAGGAAAGGAAGAACAGGTGATTTTATGGCTTCCTTTTTTGTGAAAGCAAATACCTAAAAAGCACTTGATTTTTAATTAACAAGTTGCTTAAATGTTATTTCATAGAAGAGTTTAAATTATATTTTATATGATAACTACACAAAACAAAATCCATCTTATATTAAATGAAATTAAATATTTAAAAATATTTCTTTGACCTAGAAAGTATTGGGTTTACCCAAAAAACATTTCCTTTATTGCACCTTCACCTTAAGGTGTTGCTTTGTTTTCCTTTTAAAAAATTCCGCTCCCCAATTCAAACGCAAGAAACTGGAACACAATTGCAATAAACGCACGCCTCGATGAGTAGCTCCTATATTTTGTACCCATTCTTTACTCCTTTTTTTCCTTTCCACTCATATGCCACACAGAGTTGCATATTGAAAAAAAAAGGAAAATATGTGTATATAGATGAAGAGAGATGGAGGAGAGCAGATGATAAAGAAATGTCCCATATAAAGCGGCGTGAGTCGAGTGTACAATATGCATTTTCATATCTGAATAAATAGACAGGCGAGAGGTGCGGAGTTCTCACTGGGATACAATATATATATATGTATATTTGGATATATATATATACAGCCCACAACAATGACCGGGGGGGTTGAGGGGGTGCGGTAACGAGGGCAGACAGATGGAAGAGCTTACGAGGACGAAAAAGAGGATGAGGTTGAGGAGCAACAACGGCCAAGTGGTAACCAACAGTCAGCCAACTGATACAAGAGGCTGAATGCACGGCAAAAAAAAAGAGTTATTTCAATTGGATTTGTTTTTAAACAATAAATCCCGAAAATGTCTTCAAAATAAATGGTATTTTGAATATTTAAACAAAGAGAATTCAAGCTAATATTATAACACCAAGAATAAAAGGTACAACTTTTTGTACACCCAGAGAAATAAAATTTTTGGTATTCGGTTTCTAAATTTACATAACAATTTTCAAAATTTTTATTATTCAACTTTATACCATTTTTTCTAGCTTTTTCAAATTTTAAAGAAATATAAATTGTTTGATTAATAAAAATAAAAATCAAAATTATAAGAAATGTAATTCATAAGTTAACAAATAATTTCAGAGACATAAATAAGAAACCAATGCACTTTTTCCCGCGGTGTAGTGGGCGACTTTTCGCGTGGGCGTGGCTGTGGGCGGGTTTCGGCAGTGCGGCGCAATATGTTTGCCTGTCAGTTTCATGCATTTCATATCGAAAACCATTCGTACTTTTACTTGAGTGAGTTTTATGAGCAACGAGCCGACGAGCCTGTGCGGGGGATACACATATCCATGAGGATGCTCCGCTGGCTACATTGTATCCTTTTTCCAGTTCAAAATGGATGGAGGACTTCTGAAGGGAGGGATGAGATGAGATGGGATGGGTGGTGGAACATCAGTGGCCCCGTTTATATGCATAGTTTTCGGTTGTGCTGTGCGATTGCAAACTGCGAAGTGGGTTAGATTGTGTTCCGCTGCCTGTGTTCGCTCAGCTTTTATATTAAATGAAAATTCCAATTACTTTTTATGGGACTACCGACTAGCGAACGCGGGCCAACAAAGGGGAACGTTGGAATTCGCTCAAACTTAAATATTTAAATGCAAGAGTGCAGAGGGAAAAACTAAAACAGTCATTGGACACAGAAATACCTCTATTTGTGCCATCTTATAAGCCACTTAAATGCCTTTTGTGCTGGTGAATATAATATTCTGAAACTAGAAATAAGGAGATTGAAAATATGATGTATTTATTTGAATGCAAAATATTGAAACATTTTCTCCATGATTTCCACGATTTAAGTCCCCTTGAATGTCAAAGTTCTCTCGTATTTAAGCTGCTCGAACTCAAAACCGAAAAATTACAATAAATATTTCTCTTTTTCTCTACTTTTTCCCCCGCCACCTTTAGGTAAGTTATGGATACATTCTGGCAGCCCCGGAAAACGAATAGGAATATATACATACATATATATTTGGATCGGGTGTAGGTATATAAATATGTACATGCATATTAGAGGAGCCAGGGGGCAGGAAAAGCAGCGCCACTGCAGCAACTTCGAAAAGCCGAGCAACTGGAGCCGGGGGAATTTAATAATTCAAGTGGCCGGGCGAAGGGCGAAGGCCTCTCTAATGACCTACTTGAAAACAAACAACAACAGTAACGAAAAAAGTATGAACCGCCCACTGCGCCGCCGAGGGAGCACCACCACCACCCACCCTTCGCACATAAGTAATTTGTGTGCTCGTGTGGGTCAGGTGGTTTTTCGGTAGCCAGAAACTTGTTTAGTTTTCGGTTTGGTTTGGTTTGGTTTGGCTTAGTTCAGTTTTCAGTTTTCGGTTTTCTATTTTCTATTTTCTGCTTTTGGGTTTGACTTGCAAGTTTAGTTTTGCACTTCAAGTGCATTTCACTAGCAAAAGTCCCACACACAAAACATAACCTCTTGACCCAGTCCAATCAATAAGCCAGCCCCACCATCTCGGCAAAACACTCATCTTCTTCTCAAACCTCCCAAAAACCCAAAAAGAAACGAAAAAGAAAAACGAATCGTGATGAACATTATGATTGAAATGCCGAGCTTCATATCATTTCGTTGGACAAACAAGTCGCACAAAACTTGGACGAGGGGACATGTCATACATATATCATATACGATAGACCATATATACCATATATACACAGTATACCATACCCACTCGATGGGTATTCTTATGGCAATGAGAGACAACTCGATTTTGCTCGTTAGACAACATTTGTTTCGGACAGTTGGCAACTAATTTGTTTTGAAATGGATGTCGAGAGTGTCCTCGACGACCCCCAGGACTTCACTTTGAGGCAGGGGACCAAGGGTCAGAGGGTCAGCAAATTGAATAAAAAAGGCACAAGAAATTCTGAGAAAAGGAGCAGGCAGCCGAATATGCCATAAACATGTGCACATTTCACTCCACCCCCTCCCAACTAAAAACGAGGAGACAGTAAATATTATGCCACATCTTTGATGGATTCAACAGGGAAATTATTTGTTCAACCGTTCCCTTTAAGCCAAGTATAATTGTATTTTTATAACAAAAAGTTAAGTTTGAGATTTTTAAAATATTTGTTACATTCCCGGTTTCAATATTTTCATTACAAATTTTTGTAAGGAAAACACAAAAAACCAAAATCGATGGGTTTTTAAAACCTAACTAAAGATTCCATAAGTATAACAACTATTTTCTAAACTTTATCCCATAAAAAAAGCAGAATATTCGGCTTTCAACTGTGTATTTAGTGAAATAGTGTGGCCAGATCCAGTAATAGTTTTAAAAGAATTCCAAAAAGTCCTAAAAGTGTGGCGTTCCTTAACCAGTTTTATTTTCCGGTTCACTTTCCGATATTTCCGCCACGTTCGCTGAACATTCGGCGATGCCAACTGAAGGTAATTCCAGTGATACTTCTGGCAAATCCAGCATTAAGCGGGCGGAATCGGCTTCCAGAAGGTCCTCGAACAAAGACCCAGCACTTGGCAGATAAAAACTAGGATCTTGATCGGAGTTTAGAAGACTGGGAGATGCATCGGTAACTGGATTATTTGGTGAAATGGCAGAATTTGTGTCTGCAAAGCGGGAATCCATGAGGGTAAAAAGTTCCGGCAGGGAGACCAAAACCTCGTCTATATCTTGGCGATCCTCTAGATCCGACCTATGTTGCTCCAGAGTCTGCAAATTGGCGCCCAACGAGGTGGATAGTTCGGATTCGCCGATCTCGTTCAACATATCCTCCCTGGTATTGGATATAATATCTAGAAGATGGTTTGATATAGGGTTGAGAACTAAAATGGGATATATTTTACTTACCAAAAGCTTTTCTACGTTTGGTTTTGCTTGAAGAAGCCCTGGGATTTCGTCGATTTCCTTTCTTCTGCAAACTCTGCGAACTACTAGCCCGAGGTCTTTCGGTGATGTTCAAACTTTTTGCCGGTGGTTCCACAATTGTCACCGATTTACTAGAAGCTTTTCGCTCCAAGCGAACCGATGATTGGGGAGCCAAACTTGGGACAACAGTGGACGATCTCTCGGGAATGGAAATGGAATTGCTGCCGGGCACTGGAGCCACCGTCTGGCGAAGTTTTTGGTTCTCGGCAAACAGCAGAGCCCTCAGATTCTTCATTTCCTCAATGAGCTTCGATCGTCGCTGCTCCAACTCCCTCAACTTCCGATGTTCACCCTCCAAACTGGCAAATAGTTGAGCGAATAGCGCATTATTCTGCTCTTGCTGGCGATTTTGGGCAACCATGCGACTTGGACGGTCCTCGGCTTTCTTCTCAGCCATTTTTGAGACTAGAGACTAGAGCTTGAGGTTCTCAGGGGTTCTTAAGTCGCGGGAATCCTCGGTCGCCCTGTCCTACAAATATTGGAATTTTGTGTTATGTGTTCAGTTGCTGCTTTGTGTGCAAACTGAAATATAGAACTGAAACACTGACAGTTGTTCAGGAACTACGTGGATTAAATGTCGAGAAAAGCACACACATTTTAAATTTATTTATAAAATAAAAAATTAATTTGCCTTTTGTAATGTCAAGATAACAAATTCTTATCTACAGGGCATAACAAATTACGCGTCACATTTTTTCGGCCCCTTGTTAAAGTTTTTTAAATTGATAATATCACCACTCAAAAAGTGCAAATAAATCGGAGTGCGATTTTATTTGCACTCCCTTAGCTGCCATTATCCCGGCCTTTTAGCCACTCTCAAATTGGTCGAACTATTAAAGTGAAAAAGTTTTTAGCTTCTGTTTTTCCCTCCGCCCTCCCGAGATTGGTTCCATTTTATGCGGACTCTCATATTTTGGCAGACAAACTTCAAACTATTGTTGTGGCAAGTCAATGAACTGGCAAAATCGCCTAATATTTCCACACTCCCAGACACTTGTCGTTTTTGCTCTGTTTTTCCCAGCTTTTTGTTGTTGTTTCTTGCTAGGAAGGAAAAGGGAGTTTTCCCTGGGAGCTCTCCAGTGTTTTGTGCTCTGAATGGCCAAGTATATTAAAAGTCTATTTCTTTTGGCAAGACAATAAAGTAGCGCGAGGGCGCAAGGATAGTGGTGGTGAAGGACAGTGGCCCGTTTTGTTGTAACAAAAGGACACGAAGATGAAGTAGGGAGTAGGGATTCAGGACTCAGGATCCTGGGATCCCAGGATCCCGGGACTTTGGCAGTGGGATGAATGAGCTCGACTGGCGGGCGGCTATTGTTCTACTTCGCGAAATAGCGCACATAAAAAGCCAAAGAACGACGGCCATAAATGATAAAAAAAAAAGGAAGAAAAGGGGCTGAGAAAATTGGTGGAAGCCGAAACTGAACCCGAAGTGGGGATAAATGACAGCCAACTGGCAGCCAGACAGAGGCGGTGCAAAAGGGGGTACAAAAAAGGAAGGGGAGAATCCCTGAAAAGAGCGGCGAAAGGAGGAGGGGAAGTCAGAGGCGCTAAGGAAAAAAAGGGCCATGGAAAATGGAATAAAATGCCTGGCCGACATCGACATTTTCCCCCACCCCCTCCCTCTTGGCACTTTCCCCACCCTGCGCCCCTGTCAATTCCAACGACGTCTACGAGGAAAAGGGTTAAAAATGTTTCATTGCCTCGACAGGACTGCGAAGACAACATATGCCAATAATTTACGCAATTTAGACAAAGTAAAAGAAATACAAAACACAAGACGAGTGGGGAAAATAAAACAAACAGGAATGAGAGAGAAACTCAAGGAAAATCCATCAGGAATGGGAATTTCCACCCAATTTTCCCTCCTTTCCCTTTCCCCCAAAAGGAAAGCAACCCGAATTGATGCTCAATTTTATATTTTAAATGTTATTCAAATTGTGTCACATTTCTCAGTGTAATGGCTTGGAATTGTCTGCAGAGGCCGGAAAAAAGGGTTTCCCCCGAAGTTGTTTTGTTGTTTTCGTATGTTGTGGCTTGTTGGTGGAAACTCCCCACCAATTGCTAACCCCCATTTTATTTATCGACTGTCATTTCTCTCGGGTTCTACATACCCACTATATATATCTAGATATAAATGGGTACTTATATATAGGGATATATAGCTGAGAGGAGGCCTTAGAAATGAGCGATGCTCGGGCGATTTAAATGCGCTAAGCTAATTAGCTGTGGCCAACAACACCAAGAAGTTGGCCAACCACTGACCCTCAAAGGTTAGGTTTGCGGAAATTGCGTCATTAACAGCCGCTTAGTGCAGTGTGTATGGTAAATAAATACCATATACACGGTGGGACTACAGTCAAGGTCAAGAGAATAGCACTATAAGGGACAGCCCTTGCGTTATTAATTTTAGAAAAGTTTAAAACTCGTTTTTTAGCTCCCAATAACTTTTCTTGGCGACAACATATTTATAAAATTTCGATCATAAACTAAGCTTGTGGTGTCACTTTAAGTAGCTTTATCATATCCCATTTCCCAGCGCTATTATCATGACCGCAATCGTGTTTCGTCGCTGGGCGAAACATTAACCCTAAGACCTTTGATTAATGCCGGCTCAAAAGACACACAAAAAGGGAAACGAAACGAACAAAAAGCGGGGAACAAAGTCTCGTAATGAGACTGCCATTCCGATGATATGACATCTTGTTGTTTGGCTCCACTCGACTGGAGGACTCGAGGACCAAGAGGACCAAAATGACCGAAGGACCTCTTCTCTGCCCTATTTTGCACCCATCTCAATTACAGTCCTTCAGCGGAGAGTCATCTTCATCTCCTGGCGATTTAACTTACCTTACCGATTCGATTCCTTTGGTCATTTCATTTCACCTGCCTCCAGGGGTAACTTTCACAAGGAGAACTCCTTAACCTACTGCCCCATCGCCCCATCGCCCACTCACCCACTTTCCCGCCCCCTGCTAATGATGTCCAATTCGGTGTTCAATCTGACTTCCCCGGAGGCCAGGTGGTTGATGGCCAGTTCAGAAACAGAACAGAAACAGCAGCAGAACAAATGAAAACAAATCCGAGGCCGAGAACGGTGGAGAACGAGAACTACATGACATCTGGAGTACTAAAACATTCGATGGCCAGTACATCCTCTCGCTGGGCTAATTGGACAAGTGAAAGTGAAATGGGGTCTCAGGCCTCAGGCCCAAACGAAAGGAACCACTGGATGGTTAGCTAATCGGTCACTTTGCCCAAGAAAACATGGCCCATAATTGGGAAAAAGTTATTAAATTAAATTAATTAGTGGTAAAAATGTTGTATCACTTTGGAAATTATAATTTCTGAAAGCTTATAAACATGACTATAAAAGCGTTCAAAAAATTTGATAAGGTTATATGATCTTTAAAGTATCAGTTTTCAATAAATGCCATAAAATATTATGATCTCTAAAGTATCAGATTTCTTAAATTTTTAAATAACTTTTCTTACACTTTAGATAAAGTTATTAAGATAATTTTATTATTAAAGGCTTATACAAAACATCTACACCAAATCCACTCCCTATGATTAGCATCAAAACGTATTGGCTTCTCCTCACCTCTTTTTGAGCAGTGTAAACTACATACTGAACTGCTAATAAGACGCATTCCTGCTCGACTAATGCCAAGTCAATGGGAAAAGCTCTCGCCGCCTCTTTCTCTGTTTCTATTTCAGTTTCAGTTTCGGTTTCAGTGTCAAAGTCAGAGGCCGGGTCAAAAGGCGCATCAATGCTACTGAGCATATTTTGCGGTCGCCTCGCTTTTCCCATCGCTTCCCCCCACCATTTTCCATTTTCCAGCTGCCACAGAGCCCGGCTTTTCCTTACTACATTTTTTCCCTTCTTTTCTTTTATTTTCTTTTTTTTACATCTTTTTGAGAACTTTCTGTGTGTGCCATGATGCTGCACAAAAAACTTCCGACAACAATTCTGCAAACGCAAGCAGGAAAACATAAATCTGGCTAAAGCTAAAACGCAAACTTTTATTTAAAAAAGAAGAAGGAAAAAGTCAGGGGCAAAAAAGCAGGGAAAAAAGAAAAGAATAAGAGGAGGAATTTTGTGTGAGTGCGTGCAAGTGATAGAGGGATTGGATAAAGCAGAGACGACGAGTGCAGCCGAGAGGTCCCGAGCTGGGGTTTTGAGATTGGCCCCCAATCTTGGGGGCCAGCTTATTTTCCGGGGGACTAGGAACAACTAGGTCGACTGGGAAAGGGCGCTTCTCATGTAACAATAAAATATGAGAAATAACAAATGAATAACTTAATATTATTCCGAGAAGAAAGTTTGAATTTTTAAATAAAATTAAATATTATAATTTAAATAAATATTATATTTGATATGCCACTACAATACTTTAAAATATCTTAATTTTTATGAAATACTTTTTTCTTAACTTTCTTTAATTTGTAAATAAAATAAATATATAAACAAATAATATACATTTATTCCGAAAATAAATTTGGAATTTAAGGGGTATTTTAGTCCATCAAAAAAATTAAAGTTTATAATTTACTATCTATTTATTGTTAAATTTCTTAATTTTAGTTAAATCTTTTTTTTTCCATTTTGATCTGCTACTTTGAAGAATCTCGGTTGTAGGGTATTTTAAAAGGAAATAATATACATTTATTCCGAAAAGAAAGTTTGAATTTTAGGGATATTTTAATCCATCAATTAAATTAAATTATATAATTAACTATCTATTTATTGTTAAATTCCTAAATTTTAGTTAAATATTTTTTTTAGTTTCCTTCATTTTATATTTAATTTTGAGGATCTCGGTTGTAGGGCATATTATATAAGCTTCTTGAATGGCCCAAACCGCATTTTGCACTGGACATAAAAATGCGAAAACAAGCTCTTCGTCAGAAAGAGAGAGAACAGACGAAGAGTGAGAGAGATAGAGGTACAAAGAAGTATCTTGGTATCTACTTTTTTGCTTTAAGCAAATGTCCACATTTTGACCATTTGAAATCCAAACAGGCAACTTTTATGTGTGCTCCTTTATATTTTTTTTCTTAGTTTTTTGTGCTACGTGTGAGTGTGGAACAGACTTTGGCTGCCACTTCGACTTGAGCTTGAAATTTTGCAACATGCCTTCGACATCTCTTGGGTATTTTTACGACCATCACAGACGGCCAAAAGACTGACCACAAAAGCCAAGGCGCCCAAGAGCCGCGAGTTCGTCCCCCCTCCCCTCGATTCCCTCCTTGTATATTTTTCTGGTTCTGGTTTCGGTTCTGGTTTAGGTTTAAAGCCCGAAGCTAGAGCCAAAAAAAATATAAAAAAAGTGAGCAACAAAAAGTAGCCAACTCCTGCCTCAAATGGATTTGGACAGAAACAAAAACACACAGGGCCAAAATAAAAATGAAAATAAAGGAAGCATAAAAAACAGATACAGAGTGAGAAAAGGGGGTTGGGTCGGGTTGGGATCCACGATGCACGTGATGCGATTCCACTCGCTGGCTTAGAAGATACAAAGATACAAACCCAAAAACATTTAGAGCAATCAGTGCTGGCGATTGTATTTCAACCAAAAGTAGCCAAGTTTAGTTTTAAATCTATTTATTTATATTCAAATCAGGGACCGTAAATAACAGTTATTTGAGACTTTTATTTTAAATTTCAAATCAATTCATTACTATTTCTTTAGACAGAAAAAAAGAAAAGAAGTAATTCAATTTTCTGGGATATGTAACTTTATATACAAAATCTTAAAATATTCTTCAATAAGTTATAAACATATTAAAAAAAAATATTTAAAATATTTTCCAATTATATTTATAACAAAGAAGAACTTCAGCTATAATATAGCCAAGAAACCAGCTCCAAAGACGAAGAAAAACAACTGAGACTCAATTCGATTCGATTCGATTCGAGAAGAAAGCAAAAGAGAAGAGCAGGCTTTAGCCAGCTGATTTGCCGCCAATTAGCAACTAAGTGGATTTGTAGACCGAAAGCTTAGCCCCCGACTGCTGTGGGTGGTGCCTTGGGTGGTGCAACGGTGGGTTGGGTGGGTTTCGGGGGTTAAGGGGGTCGGGCAGTGGTGCTTTTGGCTGTCTGTAACGGTGTTACGTGCCAGGTCGAAATGTGAAAAAGTTGCCAATATTTATATCGATAAACAAAGTAGGAATAAACATCAGCG